CGACCCCCGCATCCCTAGGCTCTTCAAACACTATATCAAGGACATATTCATCACCTAGATTATCCGCAGGGAACGACCCACTCTAATGTCTACCATCCTAACTGTGGCCTAGGCTCTCATCCATATCTAATTTCTGAAATTTAAACAATAGGAGGGGTTACTTTCAACATTTTCAGAAGCAGAAGTACTCTTAACATCTCTAGAGGCATGTATATTCATAAACTTTTACTAACTCTAACCCGCGAGTCCTAGGAACATCTAAACTTGATGCTCTGATACCACTAAATGTAACACCCTACACCAGTATGACACACAATCGTCCGATGAGAGCGTCACACAGAACCATTGGAGTAGCTAACAAAAATTTTCTTAATCATATTCAATGAAAAAACATTCATTAATAATTACTTGTGATAAAATAGACAATAACTTTCATACAAAGCAATTTACAGTTGGGAGCTCCCAAAATACAATTCAAACTGTACAAACCATAATTTAAAATAAGTTACGACTCGACATACAAAATAAGGGTTACAAATATAGATGCCCTCTAAGAAGAAACCAGGACATACTCTGCTCCGAAATATCAGAGTCTGGATCTACTCAGCACAAAGGTTCTTCAAGTGCTCCACCTAGGAACCTGCGTAAGGAAACAAATTTCAAACGCTGAGCTAACTAACCAGTGCCACATTGAAAACTAAGTCATACTAACAAGGGTTCAATAATAACATGCTCAACAATTGATAAACTAATATAATGAGTATACTCATATTCTCACTCTCTACACTATGGCAGACATCATGGTATGGCTAAGGGATTTCTGCATCTCGGAGCTCATGCACCCCCCTCTAGTTTACTGAGGATGTGGTCATCGAAATCTATGCATCGGACACCACAACCTTGACTAGCCCACCCCTTGCGAGTGTCAGACCTTGCTCCCTAACTAGTCAGTTTAAAGTGACTTGCACACTACCTAAGGATATTCAGACTGTTTCTATACTTTCGACGCTGTTAACGTTTCTAAGGGAACTCAGGTGTCCGGATCGTTTCCCAAATATTCAAGCAAGGCTAGTTTTATATTACCCTAATTAATCTTGTTTCTATGTGAAATTAAGCATTTATATTGTTCCATTTGTAGTTTTATTAGAGGATAATTAGAGCTTTTTAGGATCATCACTAGCCTTTACAATTCCTCAAATTTTATAGCCCAAATAACTATTTGGTATCGATACCTCTGAACCAGACTATCTTATTTTAGAAGGGGAAGTATTGATACTCATATGGGGAGATCAATACTTGGGGCTTGGGTATCGATACTCCCTTGAGTACTGATATCAAAATAATATTCTAGAATTTAGGTCTCAATACCAAACATTTTGATCTCGATACCAATTCCTCGATATCGATACTCCTTAAAGGAGTATCAATAATGCACTTACAAAATTCATAATTTTAAGCCTCAACATGAACAGTATCGATACTGATCCCTCTAATATCGATACCCTCCCTCGAAAATGCATTATTTGGGCACATAAACTCACTCACATTGCTACATGTAGGATCATAAATAAGGCTTTAAATATGCTTATACATTCAAAACATGTAATATACTATTGTTATCTCACCAAGCTTTAATCTAAACTTTTATGCTATCATGACTTACAAATGACCCAATAAAGAGTATGGAAGAGTTGTAAGTGTGTTACCTCAAAGCTCTTGGGAAACCCCCAACTCACTCAAGAGGTGTTTTCCCTTTTTCTTTAGCTTTTGAACTTTCTCCAACTTATTTCACTATTCAAGGATAAGAAATAGGAATTTCTAAGTTAACTAAGTGATAGAAATAGAGATTAGAGCACTTCTTGCATCTTGAATCTAACAACAGTAACCTAAAATCCTTAGATTCTATCAAACCTCCCAAAAAACCATTTTGGAAACTATTGTTTAAAACTTGCAAAATAGAGTTTGAATTGAAGCTAGAAAGATAAGGATTAAGAATCTCACCTTAGATAAGCCAAACTAGATTTACAAAGTTGGAAAATGAGAGGTAGTGGAAGAAGAATGGATGGAAGAATAAGAAGAAGAAGAGTGGGTAAGATATTATGGGGGATGTTCATGTAAAATACTATAAATTAAAGGCGTTTTTAGCTTTTAAAATAAAATTGGGTATACTACACTTTAAATCCCTACATTTTTAGGTTCATAAAAATATCATCACCTTTCTTAAATCTTTTGGGTCCAACTCAACCCAAATCCAAATAAAATTAGGGGTTGTTTGATAAAAGAAAATGATTAAGCGATGAATGATTCAATGGTCTGAATGATTCAAAGGCTCTGTATGAATTGGATTGAATGTGACATGTTGTTTGATAATGGTTCTGAATGTACAATCTGAATTATGAATATTTTCATTTTTACCTTCATAATGATCTATTATATTATAATATATGATTGTTTAATAAGACAACATGTGAAAAAATAGGTATTATGGTAAAGTAACGGGTGCTTAATGATTCAAAATGTATTTTAATGCTGAATCATTCAGTAGTGTTTTGCTGTTTCATTCAGCAGTGTTTTGTTGTTTCATTCAGCATAGTCTTTATTCAGAGGTGAGAATCAAACACGCTGAATGCTGAACCGTTCAACATTCAGCGCTGAATGGTTCCATTCAGCAGTAAACAAACGGCCCCTTAGTCCAAGCTATTTAATAAATCTTTTAAGCTCCAAAACGAACCTCAGGTTGACCCAATTTTCAGGGCGTTATAGGTTTCAATACAACTCGAAGAGTATCGAAACCGCGAACCGCGACCCCAATACCAATACTCCTTGAATGAGTATCAATGTTACTCTTTAAAAACACACCGCAACAAAATAGGTTTTTAGCGGTATTTTTTAGCCCTATATCATTTTTAAGCGCTGCTAAAAACTTTCTGACGCTTGCAAAAGCACCTCAAGAAGCGCCGGTATAACGGGCACCGTAAAAGTTAGCAACATTTCGAAACATAAAACGCCTCAAAAGGTCACGACATATAACGATGTTTTGGGAACAAACGGCGCAATAGGTCGTAACATATAGCGACATTTTGGGTGCAAACATGGCAAATGTCCTGACATATAACGGTGTTTTGGGAATAAATGTCATAAAAGGTTGACATATAGCGACGTTTAGGGAACAAGCGCCGCAAAAGGTCACGACATATAACGGCATTTTGAGCACAAACGTCGCAAATTACCTTTTCTTTAGTTGTGTATTTACTATAAACGCCGTTATTGACCATATATTTAGTGGCATTTTCCTTTACAATCGCCACAAATATGTCCATCATTAGTGGTGTCTTCATCACAAAACGCTGCAAAAGACACAATTAGGAGCACCTACATTAGTAGCTTAAAACACCATTATGTACCCACAGCAAGAATGATCAAAGCATATATTCTAGATATTTAAATAAAAACAAGTCATTTGAAACTAAAAGGGCGGAAAGCATTAATATCACAAAATACATAAAAATGTATATATATATATATATATATATATATACATATACAAGAAACAGAAAAACAAACTAATTGCATGTGTATTTTCATGCTTCCTACTTATGCAATATAATAAACATAGTACATGATGGTTTGCTTTTGTCTCTTGGAGAATGAATGCTTGGGTCGAATCACGTTCTCAATAATCTGTATGAAGCAAAATGATCAAGGATCAGCATTTTTAATCAATAACAAAGATTATGATATGGATAGTTCAAGAAAAATAGACATTGTAATGGGAGTCATGTACTTAGAGAATTCATGTCTTTGAAGCTTGACCATTACACTAGACAACCGACTCCTAAAGTGTTAAGTATGAAACAAGCATATGAAAAAAACCTGTACTTTTGTACAACAATAATAATAGAAATTTAGATTTAAAGGAGTAACAGTTGGTTAAAAATCAGTAGTTTTGTATAATAATAATAATAATAATAATATGAAAAAAAAACAGTAGTTTTGTATTCAGCTGTGTTAACATACCAATATATATTTATTTCGGTGGCCATAATGGTTAGAATGTGAACAAAGGGACAAACAAGTTACTTTATTATGGTTTTACACGCACCTTTGGAAATCCAACAATTGGACTTGCTGTCAGAATTGTTCTCTGGACTGGAGGGTGCTGGTCCATATCTATATTACAAAAAAAAATACAAAAATTAAATAATGCTTATACAATTTCATTGCATAATGTATAACAACCAAAGAAACATCATTGCATAGCATCTATATTTCATTTACCAACCATGATGCCAAAATGTATATCTTTGAGATATACTTAATTGATGCAATATTATCATTATATAGCAATTAGCATCATTGTTATAAAGGTTCTAAAACCACACTGTTTATAGAAAGAGTATTGAGACTACAATATATCCCACCTCTTTTTAACACGAAACATTAACGCTGATGCTTTAATGTCATCTTGTGCTACCTGGAGCATAAACTGGACTTTCATTTTCAGAGGGGCCATTTTTGCCTTTTCGTTTTCTTCTCCAACTTAAAACAAACGTCATCGTAGTCTGAAGCATATAATGCTAAACTTGCCATGTAAAGACCATATAGTTCAACAAGAAAAAAGCAAGTTTGTACAAATACGAGAACTTACCCATAGTGAAGCCCAACCAAGACGGACCTCTGAATCGTAGCCAGCTTTGAATTTGAAGTCTCTATCATACATGTGCTTGTAGACGGCACTCCAACCGTTCGAACTGAAATTGTACCAATAGCTGCAGATAAAATAGAAATAGATATTGCAAGAAAAATAACTCATGTCCAGAAAAAGATACATGTCGATAGCCAATAAGAACATGTAATTCCATGAGATTCCAATATTGACAGTGTGGAGGGAGTTCTAACCTCAACTTATCTGATAGAGTGAAACGTCCTTGAATACTAATGATACAGCATTCAACGTCAGTGAAATGCTAGGAATAAATGACCGTGCTCCATCCAGCAATTCATAAACCATCAAAACCACTACGAAAAGGAAACATCAAAAGTCGGAAAATCGGGCATCCATAATGTTGAAATGAGCCATCTAAGTTATTCAACAAGAAATATGCCATTGGAACTCCCATACAAGACACGGTAGCTTGTAAAGCTGAAGAAAAAATCACCTTATACGAGTATCTTAATTTCAGTTCTTTGTCTGTGTAATGGGCTGCACCGACCCCATTCAAAATTGGACCTTTAAGAATTCCATTGATCAACAATTTCCTTGACACTTCCTCTTCCTCTTCTTCTTTCTCCTCGAGTGTAACTTCACCCGTGAGAAATCTTATTGTTGCTTTAGGCTGTGCGGATATGTTTAAGCATATTAAATTGGAAAAGAAGCACATCAAAAGGCGATTATCCATAAGCATAAAAATGCAAGGGCACTATCATCAATCCGGTCATCCGGTGTTGAGTTATGCATAGAAATAATAACAGTATGATGCCACAGACATCTTACAATTGAGTACCCAAAACAATAGCTGAAAATGAATTGCGGGATACCGGTGGTTATACCAAAAGTTCTCTCTTTGAATCTGCATCGTAATGACTCTCACCAAAATTTTCAAATCTTACATGCAGAGTGTCAAATAATAATCCCAAGCTTTCAATTTCATATATTTTAATTAACATTAGCAGCTCAAGAACTACCATTAGCAGAAACATGCCTTTTAAAGGGGAAAAAGGGGGAAACCTTGACATCGTGAGCAACTTTGAAATGCAACTTAGGACCCACATCGAAGGAGCTTTTGATGAGGGCATTTTGTTCTTGAGGGTCTTTGTGAATCGACAAGTGTTTCGAAGTTAACGCCAAGAGAGGCTCCGAGATCTGACGTTTGACCTTCTGAAAGAAACGGCTGTCGCTGTCGAACTCTGAAGTCACTCGGAGGGAGGGTCTGCTGGATATCAAAGAAAAAAACTGGTTGGGTTTTATGGGTGGTGGGGCTGGCGGCGGAGACGGCGGCGGTGTGGTGGGTGAGATTAGGTAATTTGGGGGTTGAGAAGATGACTCCAGCATTGCTGATTTTGGGGTTGGGTTTGGTGATTGCGATTCGAAATTATTGAAAGGCTTGAAATCTTAGGCTTATCAAATCATCAGGGCACAAAGCGTTGATATTCAAGCTAAAGGCTTTACGTTGTTTGAAATAGTGAGACTGCCATCTCTTATTTTTGTTGATGTTGGGGGTTCTGATCGGGATTCGTTAAGAGAGGTTATTTCAAACTATTTGCTGCTTCTCTATCTTCGTTTGATTTGAGATTTAAAAGGCTACTACAGTTTTGAAAAATTGCAATCACTGCGTGTGTTAGACAAACGCCAGTACGCGTATGTAGCGTCGTTTTCTAGACAAAAGCACTAATATAGCGTGAAATTGCGGCGTTTACCACAAAATGCCACAAATATAACATGAAATTGCGGTTTTTTTTATATAAAAATGCCACTAATGTAATGTGAAATTGCAAAGTTTTTTTTTAAAAATGCTACTAAAGTACGAGCTGTAGTGGCATTTCTAAAAATGTTGTTAATGTTATTATTTTGTGGCGTTTTTTCATAAACGTCGTGTTATGTGCAAAAATTAGTGGCGTTTGGTATTAAAACGCCGTTAAAGATATTTTTGTTGTAGTGACAATATCAATATTGTTCTTCCAGTATCGATACCCATGCTTTGGGGTGCCCTATTTTGGTATAAGAATCCTATTTTTCTACCCCAAAAGCCCTATTGAGGTCCTCAACTTATGTTTAAGTGTTATGTCTAATATTAGGGGTCATAAAAAGGTCATAAACATTTTAAAAACACTCAAACACTAAAATCTACCATGAACATGCTTCAAGCTTATGCAACCTACCAAAACACACTTAATGAACTACAAGTGGTAGAGTTAGAAGTGAGTTACCTTGTTAATATAGGCTGCTGAAAACGTCTAAGGTGAGCTTCTTATTTCCCCTTGCTTTAGAGCTTTCTCTAACTTTCCTCATTAAGATAAAATCAAGCATACAAGTTACTAACATTGTTGGGAAGCTTAAAAAGGAAATTAAAATTTTTCTAAAGGTCCAAATCCTTTAAAAACGACTTGGTTTCATCTAGGTTTCTAAAATCTCTACTAAATCCATTTTTGGTTTCCTACACCAAAACTTACAAATGGGAGCTTGAAATGATGCTTGAGGTAAGGAGATTGTGGTTCTTACCTTAACTTTCTCTTACAACACTTGGAAGGCTATAAAACTTCTACCTTTTTCTTAGGTTTGAGGAGGAAGATGATTGAGCTTTTGTAGGGGGAAATGACAAAGAAAGTTGAGAAAAGGAGAGAAATTAGACGTGAGATCACTCTTCCTTATTGGTTTTCAGCTTTAATTTTGAACAATGGTATAATTACACCCTTGGTCCTACTGATTTTGGTTACAAACTAAAAATGCCTTTTTTATCCACTATTGGGCTCAATCCAAGCCCAATTTCACTTATCTTGGGTCAAGGCTTCCTACAAGCCATGGGTTTTATTCCAACCCCGATTCAAATTAACCCAAAACTCCTAACCTGAAATTCAGGGCATTACAACTCTCCTATCGTAATTAAAAATTTCATCCTCAAAATTTACTTGGATAGAAGAGGTGAGGATACTTAAGTTGTATGTCCTCATCGGTTTCCTACATTGCTTCCTCAATGTCACGGTTCATCCACAATACTTTCACCAAATGAATCATCTTGTTCCTTAACTCTCTTACATCCCTTTCTAGGATTCTGAGTGGCTCTTCTGTGTAGGTCATGTCTGGGCTGACATCTACCTACTCTAGGGGTATATCATGAGAAGGATCTGAATGGTATCTCTTGAGCATGGGCATATGGAACACATTGTGGATGCACTCCAATTCTGGTGTTAAAGCTAACTTGTAAGCCACTGGTCCGAACCTCTCTAGTACCATATAAGGTCCTATAAAGTAAGGAGCTAACTTTCCCTTCCACCCAAAGTGAAGTACTTTCTTCTAAGGGAAAACCTTGAGGAACACTTTGTCTCATACTGCGAACTCGATGTCTTTATGCTTCAAGTTTGCATAAGACCTCTGCCTGTCTGAAGCCTCCTTTAGCCGGCTCTGAATCAATTGAACTTTCTCTTTGTTTCTCTGATCAAGTCTGGGCCTACTATCTTACCCTCACTGAGTTCGATCAAGTCCTCATAAGGAGCCATCCGAATGCACGACTGAAAACTATTGTTGTAGGAAAACTCCACTAAAGGCAGGTGGTTCTCCCAACTACTCTCTAGATCAATAATTGTACACCTAAGCAGGTCTTCTAAAATCTGGATAACTCACTCTGACTGGCCATCTGTCTGGGAATGGAAAGCTATGTTGAAGTGTAGTTTAGTGCCTAAGGATTCATGAAGAGCTTCCAAAAGCGAGAGGTGAATCAAGGGTCTCTGTTTGATATGATCAAAATTGGTATACCATGCAACTTCACTATCTTATAGATATACAAATGAGCTAACCTCTCTAAGGTATAGTCCATCCTAACTAGGACAAAATGAGCTAATTTGGTTAAGCGCTCTACAATGACCCAAACTGTGTCATACCTCTATTTGGTTAATGGTAACTCGGTCACAAAGTCCAAGGTTATCGTGTCCCATTTCCACTAAGGAATCTGAATGGACTAAAGTAATCCTAAGGGAACCTAGTGTTTAGGTTTAACCTGCTAACATACAAGACATCTAGCGACAAACTCTGAAACTTCCCTTTTTGTATCTGGCAATCAAAACAACCGACGAAGCTCTTGGTACATCTTATTGTTGCCTGGGTGTACTGAGAGTGGACTGTAATATGCCTCATGGAGAATCTTACTAGGTAACTGAGCGTCTGCGGTATGCACAACTGACCCCTGAAGTACAACACATATACATCACGAAGCTCAAAACATGGGGCCTTCCCTTAGCGAACCTGCTCAACCCAAGTCCTTAATCGACTGTCTGAACTCTACAACCTTTTGGTCTCACCTGCAAATTTTGGTTCAACTTTTAACTCATTTATCAATCCAGTTTCACTAGTTAAACTCAAACATGCTAGGAGGGTTCGTAACTCTGTCATTAACTTTCTACTTAAGGCGTTGGCCACAACATTAGCCTTTCCTTAGTGGTAATCAATCACACAATAGTAATCTTTAAGAAAATCGAACCATCTGTATTGTCTTAAATTCAACTAATTATGAGTGAGTAGGTACTTAAGGCTCTTTTGATCGGTGAAGATGTGACACTTCTCACCTAAGAGGTAGTGTCACCCTATCTTCAAGGTGAACACAACTACTGCTACTTCTAAGTCATGGGTATGGAAATTGCACTCATGAGGTTTAAGCTAGCGGGTTACTTAAGCTACCACCTTACACTCATATATCAAAACACATCCAAGACCATTCAACGAGACATCGTTGAAAACTGTTAAGTCCTTACTCGACTATGGTTTGGTCATCACTGGGCTTGGGTCCAGAAGACCTTGAACTGTTTGAAGCTCTTCTGTCGCTTCTCATTCAAAATAAAGGAACTTCTTTCTAAAGCAGATTGGTTAGTGGGAAGGCTATCATCGAGAAGCCCTGAATGAATCGACGATATTATCAGTCTAAGTTAAGGAAACTGTGTACTTCTGGTATTTTTTTAGGTGGCTCTTACTCAACTATTGCCTGAATTTTCTGGGGGTTGACTTTGATATTGTCCGCTGACACGACATGTCCCAAGAATGGCATCTCTGGTAGCTAAAACTCATACATCTCGAACTTGGCATATAACTATCTGTCTTTGAACATCTGAAGGATGATGCAGAGATACTGATCATGTTTATTCTCTGAATGGGAATACACTAGGATATCATCTATAAACACCAACACAAACTGATCTAAGTATCGGTGGAAATCTTGGTTCATTAGGTCTATGAATATCTTCGGGGCATTGGTGAGTCCAAAAAACATTACCAAGAACTCGTAATGGCCATACCTTGTCCTGAAAGCTATCTCTACCACATATGCATCCTTGAATTTCAACTGATTGTAGCCTGACCGCATATAGATCTTTGAGAACATGCACACTCCCCTAAGATGGGAGAAGAGGTCGTCTATCCCAGATAGTGGAAAATGGTTCTTGATGGTTAACTTCTTCAACTATTTGTAGTCGATGCACAACCTCTTGACCCATATTTCTTTTTAATGAATAAGACTGATGTTAGGGTGGTTCTTTGAGTTATGTCAGTTCCATGCGATAGGGAGCAATGGACACTGGAGCTGAACATGACATTACCTCAATGCCAAAATCTAATTCACGTTACGGTGTTATACCCTACAATTCTTCTAGGAACACATCAGGAAAATCCCACACTATTTGGATATACTGGAGTATTAGAACTGAAATTTGGGTGTTACCACATGAGCCAAGAAGTCCTCATAACCACGATCTATCATCCTTAATACTTTTATGGTTGACATTATACTCAACTGGTTGGGTTTCTCACTGGTCATCACTAACTTGGTCCAATCAGTTGCTATAACATTAAGCCTCTTATCTTTGCACTTCATGCTGGTATCGTGTTCGTTTAACCAATCATTCCCCAAGATCATGTTGAATTCTCTAAAGGGTAACTCTATTAGTTTTGCTGGAAAAGTTTGATCCTGGATCTCCACTAGGCATCGCCTGTGAATCTTGTCCACAAGAACGTCTAGACCTAGTGGGCTTGATACTCGAACACCTACCTGTAGGTCCTCTACTGGTATTTATATTTCCTGAATTAAGTGATACTAGATATAAGAGTGAGTGGAACTGGGGTCTATCAATACGGTAACTGGAATGAAAAATACTGTAAAGGTACCTTATATCACATATGTCATATCGCACTCCTCCCTAGCTCACATTACATACTGTCTAGAGGCCACTCTCACTCTACACCGGTAACTTACATGATTTTCCCTCTACTTTATTGTCCAGACATAGTACTACCACCTATGACTGGTCCTTGGCCCCTCTACATTGATGGCCCTGATTCTTGAGTTACTACGT